CTGCCACCAGGACACCTAAATGAAAGGGCTGAAATCCAAATGCAAATTGCTTTCATTCCCATGGGGAAACAGGCCTGGAGCTGGTTGGAGGGGCAAGTGAGCAAGTTGTTTGGGTTTGATCCTCTTAGGTGGAGAGGAGCTCTAGTTTATGTGGGCTTAAGTGCACTCCGAGTTTGGGTGGGGGTGGAATGAGTGTGGACTCTTCTGCTCTGCTCCAGTGCACTTCGTGGGTTCTGTGAAATGTGAAGTGTGCCTTTAAAAGTTCACACCCTGAGGGTGGGAATAGAAATTGCTGTAGCCTTTCTGGAAGACCTTTTGGCAACATATAAAAATGGAAAATGTGCAGACACTTAGCCAGTAACTCTACACCCATGAATCCAGTGAGCCAAAGTACTTGCCTAAGAGTGAGACTTGCAATTAAATGCACCAGAAAGCCCACTGCCTCAGTGTCTTTAATAGTGGGGGGAAATTGGAAATAACCAAATGTTGCTCATTTCGGGGAAAGGCACAGTTATGGCACCCCTGTGCTGTGATGGATTATGCAGGTGTTACGAATGAGGAAGGGCTCAGGAGCAGAAAGTATGAAGGACCATAAGGCAGACTTGTGACATGTGTTTTGAGAGGTACAGAAATAAAAGGTTGAGGGGGCAAGGCTTCTTGCACAATTTTGAGGGACACACTTGTGTTAGGCTGAGTTCTCTAGAGACAGAAAACCAATTAAAAATGTATATATTAAGAAAATGACTCATGCAGTTGTAGAACTAGCCAGGTCATAGTCTGGGTCTGATGTTAGGCTGAAAACGTCTACAGACCCAAGTAGCTGCAGGTGCTGATGTAGCTAATTTCAGCAGGAAGATGACAGGCTGTTGCTGCTGAGGCAGGTGAATCCATGGGCAGGCCATTGGCTCAAGTCCAGAGAACTAGAGGGTGGCGCGCCAGATGCAGCAAAAAGCAAGCCAGCTTTTCCACAGCATCCACTTCCATTGGAAGCAAGCCACACTTCGGAGGAAACGTCTTTCAATTAATTTTAACAGGTCTGTGACCTGAGTTAAGGATGTTGCACCCCACCAATAATCTTCTTAGAAGAGATTGATTGCTTTTAGCACATCCTATAATGGAGACAATTACATTGTGCTAGATCACATCCTGGCAATAACTTATCTTCCAACCACTGAGTATCTTAGAGCAGCCAAGTTGACACAAAACCTACCTATCACAACTCTGTACATAGACTAGATGTTGTGCCCGTGATTAGAGTAATGGAGGGGAGGGAAAGCTAGGTGTGCTTTTATATATATATATATATATGCATTACTTGACTTTGTTGCATACAGCATGTCTTCATTTTGTAATTTTAAAAGATGATTATGCCCAGTTTAGTAGTCACAAATAGTTCCATGTCCAGAAAGGTGACTCAGGAGTAACTCTGGTCTTGGGTGGTATAAAGCCACCAGGTTCGGGTGCTGTCAGTTATACAGGTGTGACTATTGCTCATGAACTGTAGTTGGCAGGATTGATTCAGGAGTGTCAACTGTTC